GCTACAGCACGCCCACCAAGCCACGACCACAGAACCGGTAGTATAAAAAAAAATTGGATTTCACCACTGGTTCGACCATGTATACATATACATGGTGGGGGAAAAAAAAAGAATCCTGCGAATTTATGACCAAGGATGCTGTGATTTATTTTAACTACGTTTGTTAATAAGTCACATGACCGAATACAGGTATGCTAAGTTATGGTTGCCCAACAAACTAGCGTCATGTATTCATTCAGTCCTTTGTGGGAGATAAAACTGCCTTTGATTGCTTTACACACAGTTTCTGGGCTTCAGCCTGTGCAAGCTTGTTTAGGTGCCAATCCCCGTGTGGCATCCAAATTCTCATGCCAATGACTTTTCCTGCATACCTTCCTACCTATTAAGGGGAAACTAATGCAATCCCTTCTTTTTTTTTTCTTTTTTTTTTTAAATTTGATTTATATGCCGCCCTTCTCCGGAGACTCAGGGCGGGTTACAGTGCATACGCTTTTCCCAAGCTTAGGGGTTAACATGTGGTCCTTTTCCGACTCCTTCCCACAGAATTCTGGGAGTTGAAGTCCACACATCTGGAGAATGCAAAGACTGGGAAAGACTTGCTGTGTGTGTCAGATTTCACAAAGGCCTGGCAATAATCCAGAAGCTCAATGCTGCTTTTTGGAAACTAGCTGACAGCAGAAGCTCCGGGGACCTGGCACATGAGATAAGTTGCTTTGCTGCAGACAAGAAGGCACTCCTATGCAAAACACTGGGCAGTCCTTGACTTACAACAACCATTCATTTAGTGACCATTCAAAGTTATAACGGCACTGGAAAAAGTGACCGAGGGGGGGGGAATACCCTGATTCTAGTCCTCACCCAACAAAATTCTCACTTTAACCGACCTCAAAGGGCTGTTGAAGGAGTAAAATAAAATAGGAACCACTCTTTCCCCGTGTGTGTTATCTTCACTTCACAGCCGGTATTTAAATGTAACAAGAACGGAAATCCACAGGAGCCTCAATAAGTGTCTTTGTTGACTGAATCCAACCAACTAACCCATCAACGCAATGAAACAAAAGACTGACAAAAACATGACAAATCATTTAAGGAGGACAAAAAAACAAAAAACCAGCCACCAGAGAGTAACGGTTGAAAATAAAAGCAAAAACAGCATCCAAAAATGCACAGCCCCACCCCCACCCCTGGAGAAACTCTGAATTATCGTTCTTACAGGGGAAAAAAAAAAACCAAACTGGTTTTTTAAAAAAAACAAACTTCTATGCCAGTATAGGAGCGAGACTGCAACAAAGCATTCCTACCTTTGCACTGCTAGCTTATTGAGAGGCTCACTCTCCTATGCCCACATTCTTCCGGTACACAGACGAATGTGGTTTCTGCCTTAAACCCCCCCCCAAACAATCCTGTACAGTACATATTTACTAACAATGTTTCTCCTCCCACTCTTCTAAGCACCACTTTAAGCTGAATCCGTACGGTAATGCTTATGCTTTCTGCAGTTTGCACACTTTTAACAGAATAACAGAGTTGGAAGGGATTTGGGAGGTCTTCTAGTCCAACCCTCTGCTCGAGCAGGAAATCTATACCATTTCAGATAAAGGGTTGTCCAATCAATCTCTTCTTAAAAACCTCCAGTGTTAGTGCACCCACAACTTCTGAAGGCTGAAGTTCAACTGATCAATTGTTCTAACTGTCAGGAAATTTCTCCTTAGTTTTAGGTTGCTTCTCTCCTTGATTGGTTTCCGCCCGTTGCTTCTTGTTCTGCCTTCAAGTACTTTGCAGAATAGGTTGACAACCCCTCCCCTTCTTTGTGGCAGCCCCTCAGATATTGGAACACTGCTATCATGTCACCCCTACTCCTTCTTTTAAGACATAAAAGTTATTAAGGCTTTATATATATATATATATATAATTTTTATTTGCGGTCACAGACCAAAATACAAATATAATTGCAAAAGAACGTGGGAAAAGTAACATCATAAACAGTTGGCTACCAGAAGCCTTGGCTGAGAGGAATTACATCGTTCTCCTCTAATAGTTACAGCTCTTTAAAAAAATTTAGAAACCTGAAAAGTAATGTGTGAGGAGGAGCCATCCCCTAAACAATAGAAGGTCAAATTACTAGCATTGGATCCAGAGAGATCTGTTTCTAAGAGAGACAGTAATTAAGGCTTTTAATATGAGACCCAAAGGTTGGAGCCAAATACAAAATAACAGCTGGCCTTATCCACCATACTAAACCAGGGTTCGGCTAACAATGGTGAGAATGCATCTCAGTCGTCTGAAGGAATCACATAACCTGCTAGGCGGAAAACTTGGATGAAGCACAAAATGTGAACTCAGCTGTAACGTTATGCAACAAAGCTGCCTCTGGGCATGTGCTCAGATGGAACACTGTCCCCTTGCAAAAATTATCCTCCTGATTTTCAGGTCACACGTGTTTTTCTTCTCGACCGTCCAATGGAAGACGTGAAGGAACCTTCCTTTCCATTGTTAGAAGGACATCAGAAGGCCTTAACTGCATTACTATTAATCTTCTTGTTGTTCCTATCATCCATCTCCTCCCACTTATGACTGTATGACTGTAACCTCGTTGCTGGTATCCTTAAGATTTATATTGACTGTTTTCTAATAGGATTTGATTGCTTATTTGTTCCCTATGACTATCATTAAGTGTTGTACCTTATGATTCTTGACGAATGTACTTTTTCTTTTATGTACACCGAGAGTGTATGCACCAAGACAAATTCCTTGTGTGTCCAATCACACTTGGCCAACAAAGAATTCTATTCTATTCTATTCTATTCTTCTTTGTTGCTGCTCTATCGCAAATCACCCAGAAGCGTCTCCAACATTTGCAGAACCATCAACACAACAAGAAACAGCAAGCAATCCACTCAACAAGTAGGAAACCATCTTGATCCAACACCCCTTTGGAGACTTTGGTGTTCCCAAATTCTTTCAGCCTTGCTGTTTGAGAACTCGGGAATTACATCTCTAGAGCAGGAGAAAGTAAGAAGCAATTAAAAGTGCCATCTCTGAAAGAGAAACAGAACGCAGGGAGGGAGGGAAAGGGAGAATTACAAAGAGCGAGAAAGAGATTCGAGTGAGGTCATTTTAAAGGCCTCTTGTTTTTAAGGGCAAGGTAAGAGATTAGAAAGCTTCAAGGTAACTTATCTGTACTACCCTACGCACTCCAAAGTGATCCTTTTAGAACAAAGTTTCCTGAATCCGCCCACAATTTAAAAGGCTACTTTTGAAAGAGTGGAATGCACAATGCAGCCGGTGAACATGGGACTGTGTGGGGCCCAGATGTTGCAAAGCAGGGAGACTGCACACCAGAAAAATAAAGCAGGAGAAAAAGTAAGACCGTGGTGGGGAGAAGGGGAATAATCCTTCTACAGCAGGGGTCTCCAACCATGGCAACTTTAAGCCTGGCGGACTTCAACTCCCAGAATTCTGCTCTGATAGCTGGGGAATTCTGGGAGTTGAAGTCCACCAGGGTTAAAGTTGCCAAGGTTGGAGACCCCTGTAGAATCTACAGGACACCCTTGAAAAGGAGAGAAACGCCAGAGAGGACAGGTGGAAGGAAAGTTTTGCACAACCAAGCCTCTCCGCCCCTCCCCCATCCCTCAGCAAATATTTAATCTCCCAGGCAATTTTTGTGTCTGCACCAAATTCCACAGCTTTGCCACACGTGTGTGGCTCAGCATACAGCGAGAGAGTCCACAAAGCCGCTTCCCACCTCTCTTTGTAGCGTTGCACAGAAGTCAAGTCAAGTCAAAAACGTTATTTGGGATTGCACAGCACAATCCAAACTCTCTCTCTCTCTCTCTCTCTCTCTCTCTCTCTCTCTCTCTCTCTCACACACACACACACACACACACACAGACGTGCCTTTGAGGACTCTTGAGTTCCTAGGTGCCCTTCAGAGGGACGCCGATTTAATCTCGCCGCACAAACCTCCACAAAGAAAGTTTTGGAAAGTTTGCCCATCTCCCAAACACGAAGGGTTTTTCTGCCTGAGCAGTTCAGAGGGAGGGGAAGGGAGGGGTGGGAGAGCCAGCAGCCCTTTGTCGCTTCGTGAAAAGAAAAGAAAAATTCTTGGGGGGGGCGGAGGGGGGAAACCTTGGAACTCTTCCTCCTTTTTTTTTCTGAAAGAAACAAGAAGTCACCCCGATTTTCCTCAAGGGCCTCCCCTGTTGCAAATATAGCCACGTTCAAAAAAAAAAGGGGGGGTGGTGGATGGGTGGGGAGGGGTGCAGGGAGACTCGGGAGATTTTCGAGGGGGCGCCGACGACCTCCAAGCGCCCCCCACCACCACCACCAAAGCCTTCTCCCCTTAGGGAAACTCCGCTCTGACATTTAGAGGGGAGGGGTCCCCTTCTCCTTTCCTCTTCAGCCCCCCCTCCCAAAAATCCCCCAGGCTGGGGGGAAACCCCCCCCCCCCGTTGCAAAAGTCCCACGTTCAAAGGCAAAAAATCCCAATTGAAAGCAGCCATTTACCCAGTCCAGGACTGAACCGGCCGCCCCCTGCCTTGCAGCCAGACGCCCCCTCCTCTCTCTCTCTCTCTTTCTTTTTCTCTCTCTCCTTCCTTCCCTCCTTCCACCGACCCCCCCCCCCCCCCCCCCACGCCCGGCACAAATCAGACCCATTTTCCCCCCCCCCCCCCCCATCTCTTTCGGTCAGGCGCCCCCCCCCCCCACCTCTCCTCCATCCCGAGCCTTTGCCGGACTTCGCCTGCGGACCGCACCGTGGCCGGAGCAGCTCGCCCATCGCATCAGCGCGCCTCACAAAAGTTTCCAACTCCGGCTAAAAGTTTCCCCCAAGAAGCGGGGGGTAGTTGAGGCCAACCGGGCCAACCAAAGTTTCTAGTCCGGTTCGAGGAAGCCAAACCAAACCCCCAAACCCCCCCCCCAAACCCCCCAGCCCCAAAGCCTTCTCCGCGCATCCCCCAGCCGGGGGGAAAAAAAAATCTCCGGGCAACTCAGTCACTCACCCAGCCTGGGGAGTTTCGGCGTCTGTCTGGCTTCCCCCGCGGGAAGGAGGGCAAAGGCGGGCGAAGAGACGCGCCTGGCTGGGCATCCACGCGGAACAGCTGCGGGGTGGGGGAAATGGCTGCTCCGGGGCCGCCTGGGACGCCAGCGCTCTCGGGCTGCCTCCCTCCCAGCCGAGCCGAGCCAAGGACCGAGCCAAAGCAGCCGGAGAGCGAGCGAGCGAGCGAGGGAGCGAAGGGCTCTTTCTCCAGCGCCGCGCGCCTGCGTCGAGGGGGCCGCTGAGCAGCCTCGCGAAAGAAGAAGGAGGGGAAAAGGGGGAGGAGGAGGATTCCTCGCTTCTCACGCTCCTTTGGGGAGGGGGGGAGGGAAAAGGGGTCCACGGGCGTCCCCTGCCGGGGGTCGGAATGAAGGCAGGCGGCGCCCGGCTCGCGCTTGGCTTCGCCTCCTGAGGGCGGGAAAGAAGCCCCGCTCGGAACCCCTGGCTGGCTCTGCCAGCTGGACTGAGGGGGCTTGTGGGGAACCCTGGACGTGGTGGTTGATGGGTTAAAAGGAGATTTTTCCTCCTCTCGCCTCCCCCCTGCCTCTCTTTTAATGGTAACTTTTATTGTTGTGAGAAATATTGATTTATTTTTTATTTTTTTATTTGTCGTTGCTTTTAACAGGTGTTGAGTTGCCTGGAGGAGAGATGCCTGGCAAATAAATCGAAGGAAGGAAGGAAGGAAAGGAAGGAAGGAAGGAAGGAAGGAAGGAAGGAGAGAGAGAGAGAGAGAAAGAAAAAAAGAAAGAAAGAAAGAAAGATGGGGAGAGAGAGAGAGAGAAAGAAAGAAGAAAGAGAAAGGAGGGAGGGAGGGAGGGAGGAAAAAAGAAAGAAAGAAAGAAAAAAGGAAGGAAGGAGGGAGGGAGGGAGGAAAAGAAGAAAAAAGAAGAAAGAAAAGAAAGAAAGAAGAAAGGAGGGAGGGAGGAAAAGAAGAAAGAAAAGAAAGAATGAAAGAAAGAAAGAAGAAAGACGAGGAGAGAGAGAGAGAAAGAAAGAAAGAAGGAGGGAGGGAGGGAGGGAGGAAAAAAGAAAGAAAGAAAGAAAAAAGGAAGGAAGGAGGGAGGGAGGGAGGGAGGAAAAGAAGAAAAAAGAAGAAAGAAAAGAAAGAAGAAAGGAAGGAGGGAGGGAGGAAAAAAAGAAAGAAAAGAAAGAATGATAGAAAGAAAGAAAGAAAAAAAGAGAAAGGTAGTCCTCAACTTAGAACCACAATGCTTTTAACGTTGTAAATTACCTGAAGATGGGTGATACATGTGTGTGTGTGTGTGCGCGCATGTGTGTGTGTGTATATATATATACACATATAAATATAAATAAGAAGAGATACAGGTGGTCCTCATCTTCCGACCATAATGTAGCCCAAAATTTCTGTTGCTAAGTGACGCAACTTGCTCAGCGAGTTTTGCCGCCATGTTATGACCTTTCTTGCCACCGTGGTTAAAAGGGAATCCGGGCAGTGGTTAAGTTAGTGAACATGGTTGTTAAGGGAATCTGGCTTCCCCCATCGACTTCCCTTGTCAGAATGTCGCCAAAGGGGGAATCACGTGAAACCACACACACACACACACCCCGGGATGCTGCAAACCGTCATAAATATGAGTTGGTTGCAAAGTGTCCGAATTTTGATCACATGACCGCGGGGATGTCGCAACGATCTTTAAGCGTGAGGAAATAGTCGTGAGGCCTTTTTTTTTTCCAGTGCCGTTGTGACTTCGAACGGTCACTAAATGAACTTTGAAAAGTCACTAAATGAACTGTTGTAAGTTGAGGACTGTACCTGTACAGGATAAGCAGAGTCATCCTTCATAACCGCAGTAATAAACTTTCCTCTGTGCCAAGCTAAATTCCTGTCAGAGCAAAAAAAAAAAACCCTGCCCTGAACGGGATTGACCCCGCCATCACCCGCCTACCCTGTAAAATCACCTCAGCCGATGATTTAACGGCTCAGGAATGTGATCAAGAATCTTCATTTTTACTTTTTTGCTGTTCCTGAAGAAGGTCGGTCCTTTCAGCTGACGGGATTCCAGCTGGTGGAATTCAGCAACAAAAAAATAAATCTCTTTTTTTTTTTTCATGAGCTTCTTCAACAGGAGAGGCTACTCCGATCGCTCAGCTTTACCGTTAAGGGAAGTCCTCGACATACGGCCATAATTGAGCCCAAAAATTTGTGTTGCTAAGTGAGACATTTTGCTAAGTGAGTTATAGGCCATATGAATGTACAGGTTCAAACATATATTACCAATAAAATACTCTAGGGGGCGGTGCTCATCTCCGTTTCAAAGCCGAAGAGCCAGCGCTGTCTGAAGATGTCTCCGTGGTCGTGGCCGGCATGACTAAACGCCAAAGGCGCACGGAACGCTGTTACCTTCCCACCAAAGGTGATCCCTATTTTTCTACTTGCATTTTTTACCTGCTTTCAAACTGCTAGGTTGGCAGAAGCTGGGACAAGTAACGGGAGCTCACCCCGTTATGCGGGATTCGAACCGCTGAACTGCCGACCTTTCAATCGACAAGCTCAGCGTCTTAGCCACTGAGCCACACTACACACAATTGGAATGGGTGTGTGTGTGTGTCTTAGGTCGTTTCTACCACTTTGTAGAAGATGTAGCAACATCCTTTTTTTATTATTATTAAGTCATTCGGGCACCAGGCACATTTTCCCTTGATCAATTGGAAATCCAACCATTCATTTCATTTCATAGGACTGCATTCTAATGGATATTTTTTTTTCCCTTTACAATGGCTGTATGATTCAAACCTTCTACGGGAATATGTTAGTATTATAGGCAAAGAACAGTTTCATTCACAAACCGAGAAGATTTTAAAAAAAAAAAAAGCCAAGGAAAGCTCATTGAAATTATCAGGTACAACTATATTTTAAGGTAAGTTGGATAATTTCCTACTAATATCCTTGGTGCTTAGGAAAACCTGATCCTATCTGTGCTTTTAATTCCGGCAGGGAAATGTGATAACATCAAACAATTAAAATGGATTAGGAAAATGGCTGAATATGCTAGAGAAAAGGCAGAATTACAGCAGAAACACCAAGCAAAAATGTAGGTGACAGATAAGAGTCACCGTATTGAAAAATAAAATGCATTTTTAAAACCAGGATGGGGAAATTGTTATTATCCTGCTAAACCAGGCGGCAGAAGCGTAGAGATTATCTCAATTAGAGCAGATACAGAATTCGGCTTGCCTCCTTTTTTATCTTATACACACTTATACACAGAATAGTCAAGGGTTTTTGAAGAAAGCAACTCCAAGCCATCATTTCTTCCAAATACTACTGAAAATAACACGTTCAATCGTATTTGTCCAACCCTGTAAATTATCACTTACAAAGGCTGCGCGACTTCAAATAGCTTTATTCCAGTTTAATGTTGCTATTTTTTTTTCCTTTCATTTGTATGTCTTCCTGTGTTTTATTGTCGGTTTTTATCTTTTGTACTGAGTATGTTTGAGATTGTACTTTTTTTTCCTGTGTAAGCTGCCAAGAGTCATTTTCATTGTACTGTTAATAGAAATATACTTATTAACCAAATATAAACATCACAATGATTGGGATAAAGCCATAATGTGGTTTCTTGGGTTCTGGCTTAGAGTGGTTTACGATCCCTGCCATTGTCCTATAAACCAACCAACAAGCCATGGTTTATTAAATGGCTTAACGCAATGGGATTCCACACAGATTGACTTTAAACATCATATTAAGCAATAGTGAAATTTGTTCAGTTTGGTATATGTATGTAGCTTCAACAGTACACCATGGTACTGTAAAGCTGTAAACCTGGATTAAGCTTTTCGGGCACAAACCCATTCATTTTAAGAGTTGAGTGCTCCCAGAAAGCTATGATGGCTGGGCAGGGGTGAAATCCAGCAGGTTCTGACAGGTTCTGGAGAACCGGTAGCGGAAATTTTGAGTAGTTTGGAGAACCGACAAATACCACCTCTGTCTGGCCCCAGAGTGGGCTGGGAATGGAGATTTTGCAGTATCCTTCCCTTGGAATGGGGAGGGAATGGGGATTTTGCAGCGTTCTTCCTCCTGGATGGGGAGGAAATGGGGATTTTACAGTATCCTTCCCCTGCCACACCCACCAAGCCACATCCACCAAGCCACACCATGCCCACCAAGCCATGTCCACAGAACTGGTAGTAAAAAAAATTGGATTTCACCACTGTGGCTGGGAAATTCTGGGAGCTGAAGTCCACACATCTTCAAATTTCCAAGGTTGAGAAACATTGTAATCTAATCCTGACATGTTGAATGCAGCCAGTTGTTCAGAAAATACATTATGCAAGATGGTGGACCTCGCCACCTAGTGGGGCTTTCTGAGAATTACTTTATTCCCATCCAAGAGATTTTTTTTTTTAGAAGGCTCTTTTTTAAATAAAAGATGTTTAATTTGAAAGTTTTAAATTTGAAAGTTTTTTTTTACCTATTTCCAGCCTTTCCAGCCCATTTCCAGCCAAAAAGAAAAAAGAAAAGCCCAGAATATGATTCACTTAATGACTACTGAGCTTAATTAATTTAATGACTGCCACAAAAATGTGGTAAAGTAAGTCACATGGTCACATGGGTGCCTCTATTTATGACTGATACAATTTATGGTGGAAATTCCGGGGTCCATTATAGTCATAACTCAAGGACTGCTTGTACTGAGGGTTGATTTACACAGGAAAATTATCAGAAATGCTTGCTTTCTACTAGCGTATTTTATTTTACGCGTGATATTTTTCTACAAGAAAATTATTTATCTATCATTTCTCTTGCATCGCTCTGGTCTAGTTGCAGATTCTCCATCTCCAGCTTGTGTTTTTAAGGGTGTTTTTTTCTTCTTCTTATGACCACAGAGGAAACACTTGTGGCTACAGCTCTTATAAAACCTCTGGACAGTCGCCTCTCGTATTCCATATTTATAGATCTTCAAAGAATTAGCAAGTACCTTTCCTTTCCTGTCTGAATGTAAAGAAAGAGATGGGAAAGGAAATAAGCTTAAAACAAAATGGAGAGGAAGCGGTCAAATCCTTATGGATTTTTTTTTCCACCCCGAAGTCACCAAAATTAGACCATGAAAGGTACGGTATGTATTTGGCTTTTCAACTCTCCTATTTAAAGGCTTAGTAAGTTACCCGACTGCCGTAAAAACAAAGTGATACTAATGTAAAGTGACTATAATCTTTTTAAATATAACCTTTTGTTAGAATTTTTGAATACAGCAAAAAAAAAATTTAAAAACAAGAAAAAATAAGAAAAAGGTAGAAAAAAGAAAATGCAGAATTATGACTAACATCCTTCTTTCTATTATTCTTTTTACTTACTAAATCTTGAGTAAGCATCATAATCTTTCCCCTCCCTCTTTAACCCTTTTTAATCCCCAAATCCATACACCATCAATTTACCTAAAAGTCCCATGGTAATGTTTCCAGTCTTTCAAAACAGCCTCTTATCATTATTTCCCTGACCAAAAAGTCAATAATTTCCATTCCCATTTGAAAGATTCTGCTTTTCAAACAGAGAAAAAGCCAAGATCCTTTGCTTTTCACGCCTGAATTCAAATAGTCCTAGTTTATTGAATGAGCTACAATTTGCTGGGATCATAAACCCATTCAACTGAAAAGCAAATGAATTACATTACAGGTTAGCCAGCAATTCTGATTTTAGACTACAGAAGTTTTGTTCTATAGGTAGTTCTTGAACTTACAACCATTCATTTGGTGACTGTTAGAAGTTACGGCAGCACTGGGGAAAAAAGGTGATTTATGACAATTTTCACTCTTACAACTGTTGCATCTCTGTGGCCACATGATCAAAATTCAGATCAGTGGTGAGTTTCAAAATTTTTTATACCGGTTCTGTGGGTGTAGCTTGGTGGGCATGGCAGGGGAAGGATACTGTAAAATCTCCATTCCCTCCCCAATCCAGGGGAAGGTTGCTGCAAAATTCCCATTTCTTCCCAATCAGCTGGGAGGCAGAGAATAGATGGGGTGGGGGCAGTCAGAGGTGGTATTTACCAGTTCTCCAAACTACTCAAAATTTCCACTACACTTCATATTAAAATATGAAATTAACTATGGCTTCTTCATACAAAGAAAACATATATAAAATGGTCTACCGGTGGCATCTCCCCCCAGCGAGATTAGCTAAAATGTTTCCCGGGACATCTGCCTGCTGTTGGAAGTGCGATTACAGTAATGGAACTTATTTTCACCAATGGTGGACCTGCCCGCAGGCGGTTAAATATTGGAAAAAAATACGGCAATGGATTTTGGAAATTACACAGATTAATTTGGAATTAAGGCCCGAGATTTTCCTATTGGGGGCAAAACCTTTGAATGTTAAATCAGATATATGGTTCTTGTTGATTCACATTATTACTGCAGCAAGATTAGCGTATGCGCAGGAGTGGAAAAATCAATACTTACCGATAGATTTGAAAATAATATATAAAATTAATGAGTGTGCGGAATCAGATAGATTAACTAGATTGATCAATGGTAAAAAAGATTCAGAATTTTATAACAGTTGGAAATTATGGTACGATTGGGTCCAGGAAAGGTGGGATAGAATAGATATATGATGATGTATATATATGATGGCAAATATGTATGTATAAAGGAATGACTTTATATTTATGGACAATATAATTACATTATACCATGGTGGCAGGATTGTATATTTTATTTGTGTATTGGTGTATAGAATATATTAATAAAAATTATTGAAAAAAAAAAGTCAAGTTCATTTTTGGGTAACTTCATGTTTCTCCAGTTGACCCCAAACAATACAGAAGCTGTATATCGGTACCCCTTTCCAGGTTGTCGCTTTTTTTACACAACCCACTCTAGTCTACAAACTCAGGAACTCCTTGGAGTCTTGCATACAAGCATGGAAGAGATCTGACCAAGCTTAAGTTCCAAGTCCAGAATGGGCAGATTTACCATCTGTTGAACCTAATATTCTCTTGAGTGTTTTGGAACCCAATACATAGGTCCAAGTCAGCCTATTTAATGATTTAGAATTATGGGAATTGTTGTACTGTCTAAAATGTGTGAGAGGCTCACCAGGTTGCCTTCCCCTGGTGAACCTCCAGACTTATCCAGAACTTTTTTTTTTTAATTTGATTTATATGCCGCCCTTCTCCGGAGACTCAGGGCGGCTTACAATGCATTAAGCAATAGCCTTCATACTTTTGTATATTTATACAAAGTCAGCTTATTGCCCCCACAAACTGGGTTCTCAATTTACCTACCTTAGAAAGGATGGAAGGTTGAGTCAACCTTGAGCCTGGCAAGATTCGAACTTGCAGTAATTGCAGGCAGCTGAATGTTAATAACAGGCTATTAGTCTGCTGCGCCACCAGGCTCTTTGCAGAACTTCCCTTAACATTCTTAGCCATGTTTAGTGTTGCTGTCTGCTTCACCCAGGACATTTAAGAATTTAAGCAGGGGGATCCCTTCGTTCACGTCCAGCCAGTCTGGAACTACATGGCAGTTTGCAATAACAAACCACACGGACATTAATCAGCTATAAAAATATATCACTGGACAAAGAGCCCCCGGGGATTTGCTCTATTACTGAAATCCATAGCCTGCTTCCTTCCTCTGCCGAGTAACTCCTTACTCTAGCTATTTTGTCTAGGATATAAATGATGTATGCTTAGGTTCTGTTTGTTTATCAACGGCATTTGAAGGCCATTTCCTTTTCCACTGGAACTAATGTTGATGTTGGCCTGTGGGATATTGATCATGCCCTTGGTTTATAGCTGAGCTGGGTTCCTTCCAGATATTTGATTGCAATTCCCACAAGCCATCCTGACTAGGTTAACAAGAGCCGTGCAGGTAGTCCTCGAGTTACGACCACAATCGAGCCCGAAATTTCTGTGGCTAAATGAGACGGTTGTTAAGTGAGTTTTGCCCTATTTTACCTCTTTTTTTTTGTTGTGCCGTAGCTGTTAAGGGGATCACTGCACTTAGTAACATGGCTTCCCCACTGACTTTGATCGTAAGGACGCAAAAGATGATTTTACCTGACCCCGGCACACTGCAACCGTCATACATGTGAATCAGTTGTCAAGCATCCAAATGTGGATGTCATGTGAACGCAGGGATGCTGCAACAGTGGTAAGAATTCCAGTCGAGTGGAAAATGGTCATGAATCTTTCTCGCTTAGAGAGGGCTGTAAAGCACTATGAAGCAGTATATACAAGTCTTAAGTGCTATTGCTATTTCAGTGCCATTGTAACTTTGGTCAATAAATGAACTGTTATAAATCAAGGACTGTTTGTAGGTGTGTCTGATCATTTCAATGAGCTTTCCCTGGCTTTTTAAAAATCTTAAGTCGTTAAGTGAACCTAGCTTCTCCATTGACTCTACTTGTTAGTAAAGGTAAAGGTAAAGGTTCCCCTCACACATGTGCTAGTCGTTCCTGACTCTAGGGGGCAGTGCTCATCTCTGTTTCAAAGCCAAAGAGCCAACGCTGTCCGAAGACGTCTCCGTGGTCATGTGGCCGGCAGGACTCAATGCCAAAGGTGCACGGAACGCTGTTACCTTCCCACCAAAGGTGGTCCCTATTTTTCTACTTGCATTTTTTACGGGCTTCCGAACTGCTAGGTTGGCAGAAGCTGGGACAAGTCACGGGAGCTCACCCCATTAACACAGCACTAGGGATTCGAACTGCTGAACTGCCGATCTTTCGATCGAAAAGCTCAGCGTTTTAGCCACCGCATCCCTTCCTCTACTTGTTAGAAGGTTGCAAAAGGTGATCACCTGACCCAGCAACACTGCAACCGTCGTAAATATGAACCAGTTGCCAAGCATCCAAATTCTGATCACATGACCATGAGGATGCAGCAACGGCCAAATGAAAAACTGCCAAGTCACTTTTTTCAGCGCCGTCGTAACTTTGAAGAGTCACTAAACTTAATAGTTGTAAATCAAGTACTCCAAAGCCTTTAGAATTAGACACCCATGCGCCTTCATTTTGCCCATTGCACCGAGTGTCATTTCTGTTAAGTCGAGGTATTTAAATGCCAGTTAAATTTCACTGGATGAGGTCTATTTGCATCCCTTGATCTAAACTGGCTTTTGCTGGATTGGAAGAAACAGCTTCAGAAGGCAGTTCGAATACGCTAGACAGGAGGACAGCCTTGAAGGCAACAAGCCAGGTGTGGATTGCCGTTGAGGATTAAAGCAATCCAATCCTTGGCCCAGGATTCAACTTTTATGTAAACTTGGATATCAGCATTTTGCCTGAAGATGCTGGCACTGGTACTTCTTGCTAGTTGTTCAACAGGTAGCATGGATTTCACTGCAGACACCTATGCCTTCTTCACCTTGGAAGATCTCTAAACTCTTACGACATTGCAAAGAACTGTGTGTGGTGGTTTAACTTTGACTGAAGTTGTTTTCTCCTCCATAAAACGTGGAACAGTTCAGTTGCCTCACACTGCATTGGATTTCTTAGCTAGGTACAACCCACATCAAAGTTGATGCCTCCCAATCATGTTGCGAATTGTTGCTCTCCAGCATATCTGACATTTCTGGTTGGAGAAGGCTAGTGAATGGAGTTCAGCTTGGATGTGAAAGCTAACCTGTAAACCTTCAAGAGTCCCTCTAGGCAAGCGAGGGTTATTTTTCAAAATGTCCCGTCCATCAGTTGTCAACTTCTTAGCTTACTACTCCTCTCCATCCAGTCCTCTTCAGGAAGCTAGAACTGAACTAATACACTCACCCCACCCCTGTCCTTGATCATCCTCGTATCAAAAGCATCCGCATAAACTCATGGCCTCAAAGTGTTCCACTATTCAACAGTTGCTCGTCTTTAAAAAATGATTTTCTCAGTGGTGGGACTTGGCATGAGCTCCAAGCGGTTTGAAAGAGGAAGGCACTTACAAATCAAGGAATTGAGATGCTCGAGACAGCTTGTTAAAAATATATTTATATTTTAAGAAGTTCTCAGGGCTGAAAGAATCAGTGTTGGCAATTTTCAACCGGAGGGCTGACCATCTCAAAGACAAAGACAACAACCTCTTTCTGGATAAAACTTTTTTGCAACAAAATACTCAACGCGCACCCAAAGGAGTGTTTAGTTATTTACAAGACAGTGTAGAAAAAAAAAGGGTTCAAAATACTGTTAGTAGAGACTACAATATTCTGCTCAGATTTGAGAGGGAATGTAGAATCAACAGCAACATTCTGTTCGAAGATTTTTTAACAGGTTTTTAAGAGAAGCACTTTTGAGGAAATATATCAACGTTCAGTGTTCATTAAATATACGCGCGATAGATGAATAAGCTTACAGATCTACGGATACTGCTGGATTACAACTCCAATAATGCTTAACCACTGGCTCTGCTGGCTAGGAAGGGCAGAATCTGAAGCCCAGCAATCTATGGAGGAGCCTAGATTGTCCACCCTAGTTGTTTCTCAAATCTCAGCAACTTTTAAGATGCGCCGATTTCGACTCTCGGAATTCTCCCATGCTGGCTGGGGAATTCTGGGAGTTGAAGTCCAGATATCCCAAGGTTGAGAAACATTGGTCTACCCTAACAGGGTTCCTTCAGAGTTATTTCCTTCAGTGCTTACCTAGATAAATAGAGCCAATTCACATATTTCATAGCAGCAAATTTGGGTCTGCACCAGTGGTGAAATCTGAACCGGTTCGCTGACCGTGCAGGCACTCTAAATGTGCGCTGCGTAAGCATGTGCAGTGTGCACCAAACGCATGTTATGCGTACATGCGCAGTACACACCAAAAGGCAGCTTGGGAAGGTAAGTAGAACAGCAAGGGGGGGAGGAAATCAGCTGTGCTGCATGATTTAGCTTAGCTAGAAAGCAGGATTTCCTGCTTTCTAGCAAAGCTAAACCCCGTGGCACAGCTGATCGTCGGAAATACTGGTTTGGAGAAACCGGTAGCTTTTTTAAACTACTGGTTCACTCGAACAGGTAGCTTTTATCACTACCAATTCACCCGAACCGGAGCGAACCGGTAGCATTTCACCCCTGGTTCGCACCTCAGAAAACACTTGGATAACTGCAAGCAAGGCTACCTTTCTGCTGAGCCAATCTAGGTTTGGTACGAAGAACATCTACCCTTCACACTGATTGAATGTACAAAGTGTTGAAGAGGAAAGTACTGTCTTATGCCAAGGCCAATGTTCCCTGATTTTAGCACTGACAATACTCCGGTACACAGAGGGGGAAGGGAGGGGAGAAAAGCCACCCAGGACTGCAGTCTTCAGTGAGTGAGTAGGCATGGGTAAATTAAGTTTTGCACTCCTTTTTCTCTTACAAACAGGTTTGTTACGTTCCTAGTTGTAGATTGTTTTTTTGGCAGCCAACACACGAGCAGTTGCAGGGATGGGCCAAAAAGAAAAGAAAACTGCGAGATAGCTCTAAGCAAAATAGCTATTTTCATATTTCTGTCTCGTAAACAGCTAGTGCAAAATAATTACATCTTTTTATTATTATTTTTAAAGAGAGAGGACTCCAGTTTGGCCCCTTATTTGAAAAAAAACACAAAAGCATGGTATGGTCACTCGCATAAATAAAAAACTCCCAGCCGGCTGAACCCATTGTGGGGGGAAAAAAGGGACAAGGACAAGCAGCTATGAGGGAGACACAATCAACTTCATTATTTTTAAAAAAGAGAAATAGGCCTTTTGTTATGAGATCGTCCAGCAACTACAGTGTTTCCCCAAAAATAAGACCCTGTTTTATATTTTTTTAACCCCGAAATAAGCGCTTGGCCTTATTTTCGGAGAGATCTTATTATTTTGGGGCGCGTGGAGCAAGATGGGGCTCCTCTTGCCGTCTTACCTGATTTCCAGCTCTGTCTCCCTAACCCTAACCAGAGGAAATGGCAGGGACAGGCTGCGCGTGCAGTTAAATATTTTCAGGGAGGGTTTATTTTGGGGGGAGGGCTTATTTTCGGGGCAACACAGTACTCAAACCAGAAAGGGCTGGGGGTTTTGAAGCTCCTCTTGCAGAAGCCTATCTAAGGAGCTCTGTTTTGGTTAAGGAGGCCTGGAATATCCAGCAGCAGTGCCAATAATTTATAAGTCATCCATGGAACATCTCCACCACAGTCTGTTGGGAAGTTAATATGTGCAGCCCTGCCTGCAAATGCACCGAAGGCCACCCAATTATGACCCTGTTAGTGCTCCGTGGGTCCCAGATGCTCAGAAGAGACGTGAAGCCAGGATTTCTGTTTGCACGTAAACCACGGTTTTAAGAGCAAGAAGGGACACCGAGACAGACGGTGCAGAGCACAATCGCTAGGGCCGTGATGGCGAACATGTGGCACCCAGAGCCCTCTCCGCTGCCACGTGGGCCGTCACTCCAGGTCAGATCTCCGTGGCGTTTCTTTTGTGAGCTTCTGCTTCCCTGCAAACGATGAAACAAGTCCGCGCACGCATAGGTCTGCGCATGCACGTGCATGCAGTTTGGGCACTCGGTGTCTAAAAGGTTCTCCATCACTGCCCAAGGGAGTAAAGCTGGCTTCCAATGGCTCAGTGGCCATGGGGAGATTGTGAAAGCACATAATGACTCTCGAGTGCGGAGATGAATTTAGTTCAGCTGTGCAATAGATTGATTTTGCAGAAAATATATTATTTAAGATGACGCCGGACAATACCGTCTTTGACTTGTCCCGAATCATCCTGCATATGAAACTTCGTCTCTTGCCGCAATTTAAAAAAAAAAAGGCGGCGGGGGGGGCACAGATCGATTTGATGCCATCACATTAAGCTGCCATTTGCTCAATTGGGGTTTGCAGAACAAACCATAGGCAGCTTAACCATAAAGCCAAGCTATGAATTAAGGAAGCCCAACGGGCACCACTGAAAGGGCCTTGAGGACATTCCTAGGGCTTCTCCACAAGTGGCCAACTTTTAATTCTTCATAGGAGAAAAGGAAAGAAATGTTAAATACAGGGGGGAGTACTCCCACTGACTGTATTCAGTTTGATATGAACATTTCATCTAGTCCCAAACCCTTTGTCCTGACTCTATCCATTTTAGAGCATGGCTCCTAGCCTCCCAATTTGTATTTCTCTGCCATAAGCAGTAGTTTATGCATCCCAGAGGTTAGGCTTCCAAATGGCAGTAAACCATGGCTTGTTGAATAAACCACAATTGGCTGGCTCAGGAGTCGGCAACCCGTGGCTCTGGAGCCGTATGTGGCTCTGCTGCGGCTCCATCGCCAGTCAGTGCCACAATTTTGAGAGGAGCTTCCGGTTGGTGGAGGGGGGAGCACAGCGTGCCAGGAGACTCTATGGCAAGGGTTGGGTTTTCTGGTCGGCTCCACAATTGATAGGGCTTTCGATTAGGACAGGTAGAAGAAAAAGGATGCCACGCTAGGAAGAGACTCTATGGTGGGGGAACCAGACTTCTGGTTGGCTCCAGAATTTAATGGGGGGCTTCCGGTTAGGACCTTTGTGGCTCTGAGTTTTTAAGGTTGCCGGTCCCTGGGCTGGGTTAACAGAGCAGGCTAAGACAAACCAACCCTTACATGCCTCAGTGCAATGTGCAAACCAGATCAATGTGAACCGGCTCCAATATATACGAGGACAACACATCCCTAATTGCACCGCCTTAGATAACAGGAAGAAAAGCTGGTGTTTCTCTTACTCCTCTTCCTCCTTTCACTTTTTTCTTGCAGGAAGAGTCCGGTGATGAATTCAGCAAGGTCTCCAAGGACCCCGTCTTCAGGAAATCAACCCAGAGCACAAATGCACTAAGTGCCATTATTTCCATCCTGCCTGGATTCGCAAATGTTTCTTCTTTAAGCTGCTTATTGAATCATTGGGTACCGATTTTATGCTCGTCCTTTTTTCTTTCTTTCTTTTTTTTTAAAATGACATCTGAAGGATAGGAAAATATTAGTCATAAACTAATTTTCCAGGTTGTAAAATACTGTCGTCTCCAGAGTTTTAAAAGCCATTGGCTCAAGTGAAAATGAGGATCTTGGAAAAGAAGCTTATTAATGGCGAAAGTAAAAAAAAAAATACAGTACAGTAATCTATGGCGGCAGATTGTGCTTACGACAGAATTCATATCTCACCCTAAGCCATGGTCTATTCTGCTGATAAATATAAATTGGGCCTTGGTCTGCCTGATGCATCTACCGTGCTTCCCCGAAAATAAGACCCTGTCTTATATTTTTTTGAACCCCGAAATAAGCACTTGGCCTTATTTTTAGGGAGGTTTTATTATTTTGGGGGAGCGTGGAGCAAGACAGGGATCCTCTTGCCGTCTTACCTGATTTCCAGCTCTGTCTCCCTAAACCTAACCAGAGGAAATGGCAGGGACCGGCTACGCGTACAGTTAAATATTTTTGGGGAGGGCTTATTTTCGGTGGAGGGCTTATTATCCAGGGAGGTCTTATTTTCGGGGGAAACACGGTAGCTATCAGCCAGCTTAGAACCAAAACCAAAGGAAACATGGGAACGTATATATACCACGGGTAAAATGCTCCCGGTTCGGACCGGATCACCTGATCCGGTAGCGATGGCGGCTGGTGGCTCGGAGAACCAGTAGCAAAAATCCCTGCGCCCCACCACCACCACCATGCCCAACTGAGCCACACAATCATCAGAGGCTTTTTTTTTTACTTTTAAAAGCATTTTTTCTATAACCTCTTCCAATGAAAAAATGTTTTTAAAAGTTAAAAAAAAAAGCCTCTGATGATCGTGTGGCTCAGCTGGGATCCTCAGAGGCTTTTCAAAGCATTTTTTTCTGCAACCTCTTGGCCGAAGAGGTTGCAGAAAAGTCTCTGACGATCCCAGCTGAGTTGCCTGATCATCAGAGAGGCATTTTTTTAAAAAGCCTCTCTGACGATCCCAGCTGAGTTGCCTGATCGGCAGAGGTTTTTCAAAGCATTAGAAAAAATGCTTTGAAAAGTTTTAAAAAAAAAAAAGTTGGCCATGCCCACCCAGTCACATTACCACCACCCCACCAAACCATGCCCACAGAACCGGTAGTAACAAATTTTACATTTCACCCCTGGTAATATACCCGCCCTACAATTGCAAAATAATTTCTCCAAAGTTGGTATTGTTGCTAAGGCGAGTGCCACTGCATAATGGGAAAAAAAACTGATGCCCTCCACTGTGTTTATACGAAATCTGAGCACGTATGAGTCCCGTTGGCATTCCCCCCCCGCCCCCATTCAAATGAGATTTTGTGTGATAGATTTATACAGAGTCTCTCCAATGTATGATGTGTCTATTCTTCACAAATCAATGAAAAGTCAGCCTGGGAGGGGGAAAATCTTGTTCCCTACGACTTGCTGAAGACTTTAATCGGGTTTCCACGTTGTGGTAAGGCACACTTTGCATAACCATCGTTTGCTCAATCAGCCGCCAGAGGTGAGCAATGCAACAACATGCTAAGCCAAGCTCAAGCGAGCGGGTGATGTCGGAACTAGGACGATTTCAGATCTGCAATCTGATGCTGTAGTTCAATTCGATCCTTGGCAGGGCAGACTTAAAACATCCACCCGTCGTCAGCAACTTTTACAGATTGGGAGCCTCCCCTAAAACATCACTGGCTATCTTGGTGGTAAGCGGGCTCGTCTTTAAATGCAGGATGCACAAACTGTCACCATTTGCAAGGACCTTGCATGGCTCGGGACAAATAAATAAAAAACTGGAACGGGACCTGCGGAGCTTTCTGCAACAGAGCCGTTCAAGAAAAAGGAGAGTCAGGAAGGAGGGAGCATCACAAAAGAGAGAGAGAGAGAGAGAGAGAGAAAAGAAAGGATATCAACGACGAGCCCACCCACTGCTTGCTTCAGCCCCGCCGCCCATGTGCCCCACTACATTAACCCTGAGTTAAAACAAAAAGGATTAGAAAGTACTGCAGCCCCATTCCATACCCAGCTCACTAAGATCTCATCCTGCAGCTGATCTCTGCAATCTTTGCAAATGAGAGAGAGAGGGGGGAGAGAGGGGGGGAGCAGAGGGAGAGAGGGGGGAGGGAGAGGGAGGGGGAAAGGGGGAGAGGGAGGGAGAAGGAGAGAAAGAATAAAGCAGAAGGACAGGAACCAGGACTGTGCAAAACTTTTCTAACCCAAAATATTCCAGCCTGCATGGGGAAATTCAACATCCCTGCTCCAACCTGACGTGCTCCTAGCTCAAAAGGGCGCCACCTGAACCACAAAGCTCCCGTTCTAAGCTTGCTAGAGGTTTCCACCAAGTTGGAAAGGCTTCACGATCTCTTTCTCAAACTCTTCTGCATTTGAAATGTTTTAGGCATTCCCTGGTAGGAAGTCCCTACGGCTTCCCAGTTACTGCTCGTCTTCCCTAAAAAAAACCAGATCATTCCCTGAGGTCCTCTAACCAGATCCCTCTCTAAGAAAAACCCCTCCGGGCAGGATCCAGCCCACATTCTGAGATTACCAAAGGGGCAGTGTGAAAATAAGCAATACTTAATAAGACTCAGGCTGCTGCCCTATCCGTCCGTCTTTAAAACACTGATCTAGTAGCCCGGTAGAAATGTTGTCGCCTGGCTACCTTTCGTCTAAGTCACGATTCGGAATTCAAATTCCCTTCTTAAGGAGCGCTTCTCCTATAAACCGTCACTAGGTCCTTCGAGACCCCTTTCCGCAAACTGGTAGGTTCCCTTCTCAGCTCCCCTAAATCTTTGACCTCTTGCAAGACCTGGGTGGCTTGCCGGAGTTGTTCGGTGGCTTCGTTGAGCAGCTCCTTTGCGTCTACCGAAGGTCCCTTGCCCCCTTCCTGGGCTTGCTCCAGCTCTTCACAGTGAACCTTCTGCAGGAGCTTTTCAGTTCGTTCCTTTTCATCCGCGATTTTCTTCTCCATCCGCACCACGTGGAGTAGAGACGACTTCTGGAAATCTGGCCGAAGAGGCTTTTTGGGCGAATCTGAAAGCAAGGCCCCTAGAGAGGAGCTGCGAAGCTTGGTTGCTGGAGAACCTCCCACAGGTTCCACAATCTGGTCTTCAGAAGGCAGGTTCAAGCCCTCTTCCTTTGCTGCTGGCTCTGAGGAATGATCATTCTGCTCCTTCCCATTCTGGAAAGCAGGTTGAGTTGTTCCGTTATCGTCAATGCCGTTGACGTCAAGGTTTGCTTCTCCATCAGGCTGCTGATCCCCTTCAGAAAGGTCTACCTGTGCATCGTTGGAGATCAAGCTGCCTCTAAAAACCTTAGGTGGAGGAGTCGGTGGTTTGACTGCTTCCTTGATGTTCTCAGTTTCAACATCATGAAGTTCAGAACTCGGATGATCCCATCCCACCTTCATTTTGTCAGATAAAATCTTCGGAGGAGGTACTGGAGGTTTGATTTCCGCCAAGCCTTCTTCGTCTTCTTCACAATCTTCACACATCTCTTCTGCGTCGCTTCCTTCTACAGAGTTCACATTTTCACCGGGCGCTGCTACTTCCTTAAGAGGCTTAGCTGGAGGCATTGGTGGCTTCTTGACCTGTGGATCTTCTGGGGTAAGATTGGCACTTAGGTTCTCCGTTGGAGGCATGGGCACTTTGACAGGGGGCATTGGAGGTTTAGGAGTCTCCTTCGGAGGAGGAGTTTCAGCAGTCTCACTGGTCACTAGGATGCTGTTTGGAGGTCCACCGTCTGATACATCTAAGTCGAGTCTCAGGATCCCATCTGACATTGAATTAGCCACCTAAGCAGGAAGGCAAATGAGAGAGATCTCAGAATCAGTGCTCAAGTCCATAACTTTTGAAGAAGTTAAGCTGCTGACCACACAATAACAACAAACAACTTCAAACAGCTTTAAACGCCCTACATGTCCTGCAATTTCAGAATGACTATCATGCATTTTTTAAAATATTACATTTTTGTCAACGCAAGAGATTCTCTTACATTTACGGCGGCTCAAGCAAGAAGCCCCATGGAAGACTCAAACATGGAATCAAAGGAGCAGAAACCTAATCTTTATCCTTGCCTTAGGCTACCATATCTAAGTTACGGGTGAAACAAATCCAGACGACTATCAGATAGATAACAGTGACTTCTTGCTCTTTGCTGCCTGCTGGTGTTCATCTGGAGTTCTGCAGTCCAAATATGCTCACATGTTCCTGGAAACAGTTGCCGGAATGTTGGCTTCCTTCCTTACCGTAGGATTGACTTCTTGGGCCTATCTCTTCTCTTCTCTGCTCTGCTCTTCTCTTCTCTACTCTTGAGCTCTATATGGCTAGAATTCCTTGGGCTTAGAACTAGATTGTTCTAGTGATGGCTAACCTTTTTGCCGTTGTGTGCCAAAAGCGGGGGGAGCGCAAGGGGTCACACACGCATGCCAACACCCATATTTCAATGTGCCCCATGCATGACCCCCCGTGCATGACACCCTCCCCCCATGCTCCCACCGCTTTTGACATGTGATGGACCAGTGGGCCTGGTAGGCCCATTTTTTTGCCCTCCCCAGGCTCCAGAGGCTTTCTTGGAGCCTGGGGAGGGCGAAAACAGCCTTCCCCCCGGAGACCCTCCAGAGACCGGAAATCATAGTTCTAGGGCTAGACTGAATCTTGACATCATTTGTCTGTCTCTCTTTCTCTCTCTCTTTCCTCTCCCTTTCTCGCTCTCTATGTCTGTCTGTCTGTCTTCCATCCATCCATCCATCCATCCTTCTCTCTCTCTCTTCTCTTTTTCTCTACATCTATCTATCTATCTCTTCTATCCATCCATCCCTCTTCCTCTTTTTCTCTACATCTATCTATCTATCATCTATCTATCTATCTATCTATCTATCTATCTATCTATCTATCTATCTATCTATCTATCTATCTCTTCTATCCATCCATCCGTCTATTTCTCTTCCTCTTTTTCTCTACATCTATCTGTCTGTCTGTCTGTCTAATCTATCTATCTATCTATCTATCTATCTATCTATCTATCTATCTATCCATCCATCCATCCATCCATCCATCCATCTCTATCTATGTCTTTCTGTCTGTCTATATATCTGTCTGTCTCTGTCTAATATCTCCAGAGGCCTTCTCCCAGTAAAAGTCTTCCCAAATATTAGGGACATTAATCTTGTTTGGTCTACAACTATTAGGGTTCTAGATCATGGGTGACCCAAAACCGGGACTTTTCTGTAGCTGTGCCCACACTATGGAATTCTCCCCCAAGGCTAAGCAATTCATTCAGTTCCCTCTATTAGTGAGGAGCCAGTTTGTAACGATCTTGCCTCAGCCTTCTGCTTATTCTGGGTTTAATATTTAATTTTCTCTTCCCAGCCTACTATTTGTTCTGCATTTTAATATTTAATCATGATTTTCTTGAGGATGTTTAAGGATTGTGGCTATACCATAGGAAGCTTATGGTATAAAAACAGCTAAGAAATACCAAATGTGAGTAAAAACCAAATTATTTTTATTTAGGATGCAACCTCAATTGAAATAATTCATGGACATGTCCAGATGCATGTGGGATTATTTCAAATAATCATACCTGTCATAAAGATCAAAATTAGCTGGAGGGTGAGTATTGTGACCCTTCCCTCCCATGATGAGAAATAGCAAAACATAAACGAGGACAAAAAATAGATAGCAATGTTGCTGAATAAATGATAAAAGGAGTATTCTGATTAAATAATATAAAAGCCACGTTGGTTGGGGGTAACTCCAACTATTACCTCTTTCAAATGGCTTCTGGTAGGTGGACGACGGCCCTTCACTATCTTGGCTCTGCCTCGAGTTACGTGATCCAGAGACAGGCTCTCATCAACTTTCACCTTTAAGTGGGAGAAATAAAATAATAAAATAGAAAAAGGCTGTGATCAGAATACTGGGTAACAGTTGGAAGCGACCTAGGAGGACTTGTAGTCCAACTCCCTGACCAAGCAGGAGACCTTATCCCAGGAGTCAGCAACCCGCAGCTCTGGAGCCGCATGTGGCTCTTTCATTCCTCTGCTGTGGCTCCCGGTTGCTGGTCCAGCTCCACAATTGATAGGGCTTTCAGTTAGGACAGGTAGAGAAAAAGGATGCCACACTAGGTGACTCTATGGTGGGGGAACGGGACTTCCGGTCAGCAGAGGAAAAAGGATGCCTTGCTAGGAGGAGACTCTATGGTGGGGAACGGGACTTCCGGTCAGCAAAGGAAAAAGGATGCCTTGCTAGGAGGAGACTCTATGGTGGGGGGAACCGGACTTCCGGTCAGCAGAGGAAAAACGACATCATGCTAGGAGGAGACTCTATGGTGGGGGAACGGGCTTCCGGTCAGCAAAGGAAAAAGGATGCCTTGCTAGGAGGAGACTCTGGTGGGAGAACCAGACTTCCGGTTGGCTCCAGAACTGAACCGGGGCTTCCGGTTAGGACCTTTGTGGCTCTTTGAGTGTTTGTTGCTGACCCCTGCCTCAGGGGTGAAATCCAGCAGGTTCTGGAGAACCGGTAGCGGAAATTTTGAGCAGTTCGGAGAACCAGTAGCGGAAGTTTTGAGTAGTTCGGAGAACTGGCAAATACCACCTCTGGCTGGCCCCAGAGTGGGGTGGGAATGGGGATTTTGCAGTATCCTTCCCCCAGGAGTGGGGAGGGAATGGGGATTTTGCAGTATCCTTTCCCTAAGAGTGGGGTGGGAATGGAGATTTTGCAGTATCCTTCCCCTGCCATGCCCACCAAGCCACACCACGCCCACCAAGCCACGCCCACAGTATCGTAAAAGAAGGATTATCGTCCCAAAGTTGTAAATCTTGGCTCAATCTCTGAACTGTTAATCAACCATACCAAGCTGGATTCATACAACATGTTTGTCCCCTGAAATACCTAACTGAGCTTTGGCATATTGTGTGCACGTGACCGGCTTGGATTTTCATTGGACTGGGTAAGTGTGTGTTGCAATTACTGTCAACCTCAATGATACCAAATGGCAAGACTGAATATAAACATCTGGTTCCATGTCTATGGAGATTCTCAAGTCATCCAGGTTGTCCCAAAGGTGCTTTTTTCAAGAGGCAACTGGACTTTCTGGGGTTTTTTTTTCTTTCTTTGAAGACGTTTCGCTTCTCAGCTTTTTTCGCTTCTTCAGCTGTTAAGACTGGCTTAACAACGGGAGTGATTGGCTTAAGCAAGCGTGGCAAGAAAGGTCGTAAAACAAGGCAGAGTTCCGTTAACCAATGTTTCGCTTAGCAACAGAAATGTCAGGCTCAAATTGTGGTCGTACGTTGAGGACAACCTGAAAGCCAGGGCATCCTCAACTCCAAAGTCCCTGGCTCTACCCCAGTTCACGGAGTCCTCTTAAGGCTGCCAAGATCACCCAATGAACACAATCCTCCCAATGTCTCCTTCCTGTGTAAAACGAAAGCACAAAATGGCTCAAATTCTGCCTTCTTCTCTTCTTCTGCTTAGATTTGCAAGGCAAATGCAATTAGTTTGCTGTTTCTGGCTGCCTCCGCTGCCCCCCGCCCCCCGGCAGCCCCCATGTACAATTTGGCACACTGCCTGCAGAGCTCAATGTGAAAAGACAGCAGCCTCTCCATAACGTGACACTCGATGACAATCCAGTTCTTCTGGAAGGAGGCAGAGCAAGCAACCTTCTCACAGACATGATCAAGACAGATACCCAAAACTCAGGTCAGTCCGATGAGCCACACTTCCCCCTTTCAGTAGGCAAAGGAAGACCCTAGAACAGTGATGGCTAACCTTTTTGCCATCGCGTGCCAGGAGCAGGGTGGGGGAATCACACACACGTGTGTGTGTGCCCATACCCATAATTCTATGTGCCCTGCCCCAGCGCATGCCCCCATTCCTGGCATGTGATGGCACGGTAGGCCCGTTTTTTGCTGTCCCCAGCCTCCAGAGCTTTTCTAGGAGTCTCAGGAGGGTGAAAACGGCCTTACCCCCCACCACCACTGGAGGCCCTCCAGATACCGGAAACAGCCCATTTGCCAACTTCCGGTGGGACCGGTGAGTTGAGCTCTCGTGCCCACCGATATGGCTACCCGTGCCACCTGTGGCACGCATGCCATAGGTTCGCCATCACAGCCCTAGAACCATGATGGTGAACCTATGGCACACGTGCCAGGAGTGGCATGCAGAGCCATCTCTCCGGGCACGTAAGCCGCCGCTCATTGCTTTTCCGGGTTCCACTGTACCGGAAGACCAGGTGGTGAAGGTCATCTTAAGGGCCATGAATGCACACCGGACAGCTGCTCTCCTGGTTTCCGATGCATGCATGCACACTGGCCAGTTGGTTTTCACGTGCACATGTGTGCCAGTAACCAGAGAAGCAACGCCCGGTGTGCATGCACACATGCGAGCCGGGGCGGCTGCTCTTCCGTTTTCCTGCACGCCCGCGCCCGCTCCTGTTTCGGCATTCGGTGCTGAAAAGGTTTGCAAAGCTGGCTGGGGAATTCTGGGAATTGAAGTCCGCCAGGCTTAAAGTTGCCAAGGTTGGAGACCCCTGTTCTAAGTCTCCTGCTTTTGGGGGAGGGGGATTACGGAAATGTTTCTCAGGTGATGTTTCAATTTACAGGTGGTCCTCGACTTTATGACCACAACAGAGCCTCAAATTTCTGTCGCTAAGTGAGACATTGGTTATGGGAGTTTTGCCTCATTTTACCACACTTTCTCGCCACGCTTGTTAAGCAAATCGTTGCAATTGTGAAGTTAATCACACGGCTGTTGAGTGAAATCTGGCTTCCCCACCTGACTTTGCTTGTCAGAAGGTCGCAAAAGGGGGGGATCGCTTGACCCCAGGACACTGCAACCATCATAAAGAGGAGTCAGTTGCCAAGCGTCCAAATTTTGATTGCTGTAGGGATGCTGCCAATGGTCATAAGTGCGGAAAAATGGTCGTAAGTCACTTTTTGCAGTGCTGTTGTGACTTGGAATGGTCACTAAACAAACCATCGTATATCGAGGACTACCTGAGCAGACTCTACAATCTTCAGTATGGCCCGTGTTAAAATTGTGAGAAACCGCAGCAATGTTTTTTAGTAGTCGCAGTGAACCTTCAGGGGATGCATGTGGTGCTACCCAGAACTTAAGGAACATTTATGAATGAAGAAAAAAAATTGATCTTCACAGCCTAGGCAGGATTGATCTAGAAAAGAGACACGCGTGTCCAGGTGGCCTACCAGATCTCTTGTCATTTCCCCCATCTTTGAAAATGTCCTTCCCTTTTCCTGTTTGAATTTTGAGCCCCGGTGGCGCAGTGGTTAGAGTGCAGTACTGCAGGCTACTTCTGCTGACTGTTGGCTGCCTGCAATTTGGCCTTTCGAATCTCACCAGGCTCAAGGTTGACTCAGCCTTCCCTCCTTCCGAGGTGGGTAAAATGAGGAACCAAAATTGTTGGGGGCAAGAAGATGACTATGTAAATTGCTTAGAGAGGGCTGTAAAGCACTGTGAAGCAGTATATACCGTATTTTTCGGAGTATAAGACACACCTTCCCCACCCCTAAAAGGGGATGAACATTTGGGTGCGTCTTATACACCGAATGTAGCCCCGCCCACCCATTGGCCCCCACCCTTTGGCCTCTGCCTCCCAGCAATTTACCTCCTTGCAGCAAGCAGCAAGAAGAGCCCATTTTAGCTTCAGCACAGCCTAATTAGCACAAGTTGATTGTGGGGTGGATCAGCCTCCCGACTCTCAGCTGTTTCAGGCTGCAGGGATTCCCATTGCCTATTGCTGCGTGGGCCTCTGCTGCTTGCTGCAAGGAGGTAAATTGCTGGGAGCAGGTTTTTTTTTTTTTCTTGTGCTAATCAAGCTATGCTGAAAACGAAAATGAAAGTAAAACAGGCTGTTTGCTGCAACGAGGCAAAATTGCTGGGAGGCAGAGGCAGATTTCTTTTTCTTCTTTTCCTCACCAAAATAAGGTAGGTGCGTCTTATAGTCCGGAGCGCTTTATACTCTGAAAAATACAGTAAATCTAAGTGCTATTGCTAATGCTCTTCAGATGCCTTGGATTTCAGCCTGCCCCTGAATTTCAAAGGCTGAAGTCCAGAACATCTGAGGGGCACCAAGATGGAGGAGACTGCTCTAGAAATCCCTTTGCGTTCATATCCAGTCCTCTGCAACCTGTTTTGGGTTCTGCAGCAGATTCACAATACAGTTTGCAGCAAGTCAATGCAGGAAGGTAGTTCCCTGAAGCCAGGAAGTCTGAAAAGCCACAGAACCACAGTTTCATTTCAGCACCGCTACATGCCTCTCCCGTGGCTCTCTTTTACAGTCACCAATGTTTCTCTTTTTTAGCTCTAATTTCTTTCTGCTGATCTTCTTTAGACTCATGTCTCTTTCCATCCACAGGTGAATAAATTAAGACGTGGTGGCTTCAGTCTACAGCAGTGATAGCTAACCTTTTTGCCATCGCGTGCCAGGAGAGGGGGGTGGGGGAGGGAGGTTCGCGCATGCGCATGCCCACATCCATAATTTATGCGCCCCCCCCTTCACATGCGCGTGCAACCCGCCTTCCCCCCCACCCGCTCCTGGCAAGCGATGGCCTGGTAGGCCCATTTTTCTTTCTTACCTGGCTCCAGATCCTCTCTATGCATCTGGGGAGGGTGAAAACAGCCTTCCCCACCCAAACTAGGAGTCTCTGGAGGCTGGGGACAGCAAAAAACGTCATTTCCTGTCCCACCGGCAGTTGGGAAATGGGCCCTTTCAGGCCTCCGGAGGCAAGGGAAGGATACTGCAAATTCTCCATTCTCACCACACTCCAGGGGAAGGATACTGCAAAATCTCCATTCCCTCCCCACTCCAGGGGAAGGATACTGTAAAATCTCCATTCCCACCCCACTCTGGGGCCAGCCAGAGATGTTATTTGCCAGTTCTCCAAACTACTCAAAATTTCCGCTAGAATTTCAGAATCTGCTGGATTTCACCCCTGCTGTATAGGGTGGTATTAGTACCTCATGTGACCTTGATTGTATCTCTCTTTTAATGTAATTTACGATTGTCTTGGCTGCAACTACAACTGACCTCATCAAATATCTTATTCTTTCCTCGGCTGATGCCATCATTGAGCGCTTTCATCCACAATTCCTTTTCTTCTGGGGTCGATGCCTGGAATTTGATATCTTGCACCTGAGCAGGAAAAAAAAAAAAAAAACCAGGAGGGGAGTTTGCCTGAAAGCAATTCACATTTCACTACAAAAAAAAAGAATAATAATTCCTTGCAATACCAGCTGGTGCTATCCAGTTTCTCCCCCCAGGAAGAGATTTTCTTATCAGGGCCAGAGAATGGACCTGAAATGGCCCAGAAGAACGGCTCCCTGTCACTCAAAATATGTGTCACAACCGCCAATGTGCAACACCTGCTGGCACGCGATTTATTGAGCTTTTCAACCCCCGGTAGGCCAACCATGGATAAATCCAAGAAAAGAAAAGTTTCAGAAGAAAACAGAACGTTTAATTCAACTACATATGCTAGTTTTGTGGCCGCTCAAGAAATAGTCAGGCATGGAAAAGGTTTTGTGGCTCCCGGTGTTTTCTTTTCTGTGGGAAACAGGTCCAAATGGCTCTTTGAGTGTTTAAGGTTGCAGACCCCTGGCCCAGATGCAAGATAATGGGCATAGTTTGATGAACCAATTATCTGCCTTCCTATCTACCGGTAGGGAAGGTAAGTGAATCCCACTGCTGGATTCAGTCCAATAACCAAAAGGCACAACCTCATCCATAGGAGATCAAGGACTGTCATTAATCCAAGCAATGTAAAAACACCTGATTTTGCAAAAATCACTCAGGGAAGAAATGTTCCAGTACAGCAACTACTGCTGGCCCCAATGCATCCTTCCTGATAATGCTGCCATCATCACCATTTTCGTCATCATCACAAGGGAATCAACCAAAATATGTCAAGGAAAAAGAGCTTCCTTTGCACTAGGAATAGGAGGGAAAGAGAGAGAGAAAGAGAGAGAGAGAGAGAAAGAGAGAGGGAGAGAGAGGGAGGAAATCATGCTTCATGAAATAGGGAGATCCAATGCCAAGATATAGGTTTAATACATGTGTTCCTCTGCCTTTTGCCCTCTCCCTTTTTATCTTCACACCAAGGGAGGATTGCAACCTAATCTTAGTTAACAATGGATGGAAAATAATCAACGATCGAACCCAACCTAGAACTAAGGGAGAAATTTCCTGACTGAGAATTAAGCAGTGGAACAGCTTGCCTTCAGAAGTGGTGGGTGCTCTAACACTGGAGACTTTTAGGAAGAGATTGGACAACCGTTTGTCTGAGAGATTGTAGGGTTTTTCCTGGTTGAGCAGGGGGTTAGACTAGAAGACCTCCAAGGTCCCTTCTAATTCTATTATTCTGTTAGAAAAAGGAACTAATTGGATAAGATAACCTCTGCCATCTACTGTATCTCCCACCCATTTGCAACGGAATGGGTGTCCATCCAAAATTTGCCAGGTTTGATCCTTTGCACCTTCTAGACCTCATTCGTTCACTCACTTTATATGACTGCCTTTCTATTAGGAGCACAAGGTAGCAGCACAGATAATATTGGGCTCAGGGCCCTTTTCAACAATACGATGTTAGGATTCTATCAAATATAATGAAATCCATTTTTCATTCTTGCTATTGCCCAGGGGTGTCAAACTTGATTTCATTGAGGGCTACATCAAGGTTGTGTTTGACTTTGGGGAGGAGCAGGGTGGGTGTGGCCAGGGTGGGTGTGGCCAGCTCGATGTCACTCGTGTTGGGGGTGCCTGTGCTGGCCAGAGCATTCTGCCAGCAAAAATGGGCTCCTGAGCTCCGTTTTTGGCTGCACCGGCATCCTGCAACCCTCTGCCAGTGAAAACTGAGCTCGGGAGGGCTGCCCGCGGCCCTCCTGAGCTCCTTTTGCTGGCAGAGGCACCGCGGGTCGGTCCTTTGCTGCGTCCAGGATGGCCCCACAGATCTAAGCATCCCCGCGGGCCGGATCCAGCCCCTGGGGCTTGAGTTTGATACCTCTGCTATAGCCCAACCAAGGTGTTGTGGTCCATCAGCAGCCTGCGGAGCTGGCAGCAGAGTCGGACAGTGAGGAAGCTGGGGAGGAACACGGGCCAGTCCTGGAGTCTGGGGAAGGCTCGGACGAGGGGTCTGCGTCGGAGGCAGAGATGGGGCCAGAGCCATCTGGGAGTTATGTGCGGACTCCGGAGCCTCCAGAGTCAGACATCAGAGAGGCAGAGGAACAGGGGGAGCCTGTTCCTTGTGCATGCATACACAGAGCTGCCAGAAGGCAAGGACAGTTAAAACAAAAGGGATGACTTGGGAGTAAGGCTTGGAGATGATTGGCCCCTCCCATAAGACATGAAGGAAGAGCAAAGGCACGTGGGCCTTTGCAGGAAGCAACATTGTGGATGGTGTTGGTTTGTATTTTGAAGCTCTGTTTTTGACTCTGTGTTTCCGTGTGGCCTTGCCAAGATAATTGCCAATTAGGTCTTTGGCAGCGTGTCAAAGAAGATAAAGGTGGGTGTTTACCAGCCTTATCCGAAGGACTGTGACAAGACTTCTGTTGGACTATTTATAAACTCTTGTTGATTCAATGAAAGGAATTCACAGCTGTTAAAATAAAAAAAAGGATTTTGGGGACTAATTGTGTGCTTTTTACTATATCAGGAAGCCTAGGTCAGAACACAAGGTTTTGGAGGAGAGATGCCCACCTGCCCTCAAGAGCCAGAACAAGTTATGCAACACAGCCTTGAATTTGCAGAAGGCAAAGGCAAGCACACAAACGATGAGAGAATGGAGCGAAGCAATTTCTCTCCTCCTTCCATTTTTATTTTATTTTTTAAATTTTTTGCAGCAGCTGTTGCCAAGGGAGGAGTTCCCCGTTGGAAACGGAGACGCCAAACTTGTTGGATGAGCATCTGCTTCCGTCTGAGCTCCCAAACAACTGAACTGGAATCACCCTTATTAACAAAGTCGCTTGCAATAGCGCCTCTACTGAACGCAAGAGGCAGGGGTTCTTGTTGATGTTGTTTTTAACAGTCATTTAAACTCTAAGCACAGTCCCCATTGATCCAACTTCCTTTCTGCCACAGCAAGTTGCTGGCTGGAAAGCAGGGCAATGGAGGGGGGAAGGGAAACGGGGAGGGTCAGGCTCAGTTTGTTCGGACAAAGGGGGAAAGAGAGAGAGAGAAATATCTTGGTTCCTTTCCCAAGCAGGCATGCTTTCTCCATGAAGTCAGAGTATAGCCTATTCTTTCTCCTTAATCAGGAAGGAGTCTGCCTGAATGATCAGGCTTTTGCCCCCGTTGTAGACTTTGGTGAAATCTGAACCGGTTTGCTACCAGTTCGCTGACTGCGGTATGCGCGGGCCAAATGCGTACTACATGCGCATATGCAGTACACACAAAATGCACGCTGTGTGCACACATGCACAGTACGAGCCAAGCACGTGGAAAAAGGAGGCTTTGGAAGGTAAGTATAACAGTGAGGGTGGGGAAATAGCTGTGTTGCGCAATTTAGATTCACTAGAAAGCAGGATTTTCGTGCTTTCTAGCGATTTTAAATCGCGCAGAACAGCTGATTGTCGGAAATACCGGTTCGGAAGAACTGGTAGGGTTTTTTTTTACTACAGATTCGCCTGAACTGGTGTGAACCAGTAGGATTTCACCACTGCTTTGATGGTTAAAGAGTTGTGTCACCGGCTCATTCTATGATGATTTTTCCATTATTGGATTACCGTATTTTTCAGAGTATAAAACGTACCTTTTCCCCCCAAAAAAGAGGGTGAAAATCTGGGTGCGTCTTATACTCCGAATGTAGCCCCGCCCAGCTTCTCAAACGGAGGTTTCAGAGGGCTGAAAAAAGCATCAGAAACAAAGCTTCAGAAAAGAAGCCCCAAACAGAGCTTCAGAGGCTTTTTTTCTGAAGCTCTGTTTCGGAGGCTTTCAGAGGCAGAAAAAAAAGTTTTTTCTGAAACAGAGTTTCAGAAGTTTCAGAGGCAGGGAAAAAGAAAGCCAAAAAAAGGCAAGGCACAGAGTGGACAACCAAGGAACCTGTTGCTAAAATTCACCTCTGGGAACAGCTGATTGGGGGTATTCCGGGAGGCCGATCCACCTGCCAATCAGCTTTTTTCTTATTTTCCTCCCCAAAAACTAAGGTGTGTCTTATACTCCGAAAAATACAGTATCTGTTCTTGGCTGCCTTGGTTGCATGCAATTATACAATCCAGGGAGGAGGTTGCCAGAAGCATAGTCCAGGAGGTGAAAGAGAAATAACCGAGATGTCCAAAGAAAGGAGGACTTCAGAAAAGGCCCTTACAAAGGTTCAGGCTTCTTCTTCCCATGAGAAGGCCACATCTGAAGATGGATATAATCTTCCAGACGTGACATAGAGCTGCCTCTGAATAGAAGTTTGGAGGACAGAGTTCCAGTCTTGTTTATTATAAGTGATCATAAGAAGCACAAGATTGCGCCAGTCTTAGGGAGTGCCCACATAGTATTTAAGGAACAAATTCTTCTGAGTCTGTCACAATTAGATCTATATACCAATCTTCATAGAGAATTAATGGAGCAAATTGCAAAATATTTTTTTTTTAAAAAAATCCAAAGATCAACCCAATGCTATAAAACTCTGGTGGCATTCTAACCACTGGGAGGGAGGGAGGAAGGAATAGTATTTAGACTTATATACCGCTTCACAGTGCTTTACAGCCCTCTCTAAGCAGTTTACAGAGTCAGCCTCTTGCCCTCAACAATCTGGGTCCTCATTTTACCGACCTCGAAAAGATGGAAGGCGGAATCAACCTTGAGCCAGTCAGGATCGAACTGCTGTAGTCAGCAGAATTTGTCTGCAATACTGCATTGTAACGACTATTTATTTATTTATTTATTTATTTATTTATTTATTTATTTATTATATTTCTATACCGCCTTTCTCCCGTAGGACTCAAGGCGGTGTACAGTCAAGAAAAATATAGATTCACAAACATCATAAAATTGCTAATTAAAATTATTATTATAACATAATCCTACTATGCAGGAAGGAAGGAAGGAAGGAAGGAAGGAAGGAAGAAGGAAGGAGGGAGGGAGGGAGGGAGGAAGGAAGGGAGGGAGGGAGGGAGGAAGGAAGGAAGGAAGGAAGGAAGGAAGGAAGGAAGGAAGGAAGGAAGGTAAAGAGATGGGAATGGGAAGGAGTTTCATATAGAACAGAAAGGACTTCTTACCTTGCATCCTGGAGAATGGATTAAAATGAATCTGTTTTTCCGTTTCAGGAGCGCTCGCAAATCTTGGCATCGATCATAATGCTCCAGTTCAAGACTCTCAGCACATTTCTGTTCTTCCTATAAGAGACAACACTGCTATTTTTTCCTCTACTGTAAAGCATGAAATGTGACACCCCACTGCAAGGCAGGCGCTAATGATCCCAGGTTAGGGAAGTCTATGCTCGTGCTACACCTCAACTCAATCTCTGGAGTCACCCAGAGGGCCACCCGGAGTCACCTATGTGTGAGTTGGGTGGCTGCATTAATTTGTTTAATAAACAAATCGAAGCTGTGCCTCTGCTTCTCTATCGCTGCAATGGTCAACCAGTTCTAACTGACTGTATGAGCCATTCTTGAGGCTGCTCAGAGCAGCAATGGCCTAACGGGGTCATTACGCGCCATCCCAAGTTCCCCGTTTTGTATCACCTATTGAAGGGGTCAGCAACCCGCAGCTCTGGAGCCGCATGTGGCTCTTTCATCCCTCTGCTGTGGCTCCCTGTCGCCAGTTGGGTCCACAAATTGATAGGGCTTTCAGTTAGGACAGGCAGAGGAACAGCTTCTCAACAACTTCCAAAAGGACTAGGGGGGGCATGATAGCAGTGTTCCAATATTTGAGGGACTGCCACAAAGATCAGGGGTATGCGTGTGTCAATTGATTTTCCAAACCACCTGAGGGCAGGACAAGAAACAATGGATGGAAACTAATCAAGGAGAGAAGCAACCTGGAATTAAAGGAGGAAACTTCCTAACAGTGAGGACAATTAACCAGTGGAACAGAAGTTGCCTCCAGAAATTGTGAATGCTTCATTACTCGGGTTTTTTAAAGAGGAGACTGGACAGTCACTTGTCTGAAATGTTTTAGGCTCTCTTGCTTAAGCAGGGGGCTGGACTAGAAGACTTCCAAAGTCCCTTCCAGCTCTACTCTGATTCCGATTCATTGTAAACCTAAAAAAAAATAGTTAATAGTTTGGCATCTCTAGAACAGTGTTTTTCAACCTCGGAAGCTTGAAGATGGGTGGACTTGAAGTAGAGAAACACTGCTCTAGAGCATCACACTTGGGATTCCTGTTGGAGACAACCAAGACACATCATCTAGTTCTGGGGTATCAAACTCCTTATGTGGTCGGATCTGGCCCACGGGGCCTCCCGGTCTATCCGCGTTGCTTCACCCCAGTCTACCCACTGAGAAAAGGAAACATTGGGCCAGCGTGCCTTTGGCCCAGTCTACCCAATGCAAAGAGGAAACATGCCAACAGTTTGGGGTGCGGCATCAATCTGGCCACGCCCACCCATCTACCCACCCCCAAGGTCAACCACAGCCCTGATGTGGCCCTCAATGAAATTGAGTTTGACACCCCTGATCTAGCTCAAAGAACTCCTACTGGAGTAACTAGGAATCAACTTAAATTTAACTTTATTGTCATTGTACGTATATACACAGTATACCCATACAACGAAATTCACTTAACACCCAAAGACCAGGTCCAACACACATAACAATTCCCAAACACCCTCCCACCACCACCCACCACAATTCCCCACCCCTAAACCACCCAAACATCCACACAACAGACCAAGTAATGCTGTCCAACAGCTCACTTGATGGTGGCCCTTTCGTTCATGGTTGAGTGCAGTTATAGCTCTGGGATAAAAACTATTCAGAAAACTTGGTTGTCTTCAAGCAATTTCTCCCCTAGTTTGTGGGCCTCTGAAGGAACAGTGTCTTGTTGACAGTATCTACGTGATGAGATCATCACTCTCAAAAAACTTCTCCATGTATTTGTGCTTCTGCATGAATCAAAGGTTACTTATGTTCAGCCTGAATAAATACAGGTGGGGAGAGAGAGGAGAGAGAGAGAGAGGGAGAGGGAGAGAGCGGGAGAGAGGGGGAGAGAGAGGGAGGGAGGGAGGGAGGGAGGGAGGGAGGGAGGGAGAGAGAGAGAGAGAGAGAGAGAGAGAGAGAGAGAGAGAGAGAGAGGCTTTTTTCTATTTTGCATAATTAAAACTTCTTAAACTTAAGTGTGCTACATGCTGAGTCACTGGTCTGCAAGTAAAAAAGAAGCAGCAAGCAAAGGAATGAGTGAGTTGACTGATATATAACCTAAACGCTGGACTCCAGCTCACTCCTGATTTCAAATTACCATATTTTTCGGAGTATAAGACGCATCTACCTTTTTTGGTGAGGAAAACTCTGAGCAATTTTGCCTCCTTGCAGCAAATAGTCTGCTTTACTTTCATTTTCGTTTTCACCATAGCTTGATTAGCACAAGAAGAAGAAAAAATCTGCTCCCAGCAATTTACCTCCTTGCAGCAAGCAGCAGAGCCCTGCGCAAAACAGCTGAGAGCAAAACAGCTGAGAGTCGGGAGGCCAATCCAATCAACTTGTGCTAATCAGGCTGTGCTGAAGCTGAAAGGAGCTGTTTCTTCCTGCTGCTTGCTGCAAGGAGGTAAATTGCTGGGAGGCAGAGGCCAAAGGGTGGGGGCCAGTGGGTGGGCGTGGCTACATTCGGTGTATAAGACGCACCTAACTTTTCACCCCCTTTTGGGGGGGAGGTGCATTTTATACTCCGAAAAATACGGTACATTTAATTTCCTTCTTTAAAAAAAGGATTATTTGAACTTGCTCTTGCTGACTACAGTAGTGAAGCAGTTTGGAATAATGACTAACGCATGAAAGAAAGAATATTTTTAACCCTACATTCTCAGTCAGCACCCTTTTCATGATCCCAAGAAAAGAATTTTACGCTTTTAATAAGCAACTTGCATAAATTACAGTGAAGTGTTTCAGGTCACCTCAACAGCCGACAGAGATCCTGTGACAGAAGCATTTTATGTTCTGAAACCTAGTTCCTCACCTGTACGAAATGTAACACTTTCTTGGCTAAACCAGAAATATATTTCGCACGTAATTATAGGTGAAAAGGAAGGCAGGAAATAATAACGAGTACCAGGCATCCATGAATGCAATGTTAGCTGCTAAATCTCACTTCCAGCCATCCCAACACAGGGGAATAAACACATTACTAAACATCCCACACTTAAAAGAACCATTATCAACTAAAACTATCAATTGAAATAATTAAGAACAGCAGCAGAGTGAAGTGTATCCTCTTCCAAATGGGCCTGATTATTGTATGAGAAAAAAGTAGGTTAATCCAAGAAGATCTTGTCTGTCTATTGCGCTTACTCAAAAGAATGTGCAGGGATCATAGGCAAGGGATAGAAAAGGGTTGAGGCAGATTTCTGATCCCGAGATGATGGGTTAATTCCTTTCTGCCTGGCACCTTTCATCGTGAGTGGCATCTGTTGCTCAACAAGAAGAAAAGAGGAAGTGCGAAGAAGGAAGGAAGGAAGGAAGGAAGGAAGGAAGGAAGGAAGGAAGGAAGGAAGGAAGGAAGGAAGGAAGGAAGGAAGAGGAGGACAACGAAGACGGTGTAAAAATAATCTCAAATCGTAAATGTACAGTATACCCGGAGAGGAATGTTTAAAAATAGTGGCTATAAATAAAAACGCCATCCATTTCATCACAGCGGGCCAAAAAACTAACTAGCTGAATCATCTCCCTGCTCAGTTGGCCGCTTGGCTGATGAGTGGCAACTTCCAAGAATCCTACTCATCTTCTACATTTTAAGCTGCGTTTTGACTTGGAAACCATTCTCTCGTCTTCCTTCCAAATTGGTTTTCCTGATCGTTACGGTTTGCAAAATAGGGCAACAGAACAAGCCTTGAGGATTATCCTTCACAATTAGAATCTATCTATTCATCTGTCTGTCTGTCTTTCTATCTACCATCTATCTACCATCTACCTACCTACCTACCTACCTACCTACCTACCTTCCATCCATCCATCCATCCATCCATCCATCCATCCATCCATCCATCTATCTATCTATCTATCTGTCATCTATCTATCATCTAGCTAGCTAGCTCTACAAGCTGAGATAACATGCACTGCATTGATGCATTTACACAATTTCACAGCAGAGATGACAGTTGCTCTTTAAAAATTATGATTTAAATCGAGTTGATTTAAACCAAGCCTTTTTATTAGTGATTTAAATCGTGGTTTAAATCGTGATTTAAATCAACTTGATTTAAATCCTATCCACCCTACTACCTGTACTTCTTTTATCTATCCAATGCTTTAATGGATGATCTCTGGATCTAAACTTTTATCAGAAGAAACATTCCTGGTGAGGCAGAGAAGGAAACAAATTTAAGCAACAACCAAGGAAAAGCGTTTTTGTGTTAGGAACAAGTCCGTGAGTTTGTTGAGGCGTCTCTCTCCGTCTTACCTCATTTTCGTACAGCAAGAGCTGGTTTTTACGGAGCCGGATGTAACGCTCTTTCCAAAGACTCAGAAGCCCCCCGCTGCTCTTCTTGATCCAGCCAACTTTATCTCCTGAAGTGGGACTCTTTGACTTCTCCGAATTTTCCTGTTTCAAACCCTAGAATCAAACCAGGGGAAAAAAAAGAAAGGTATTACTAGGGACCCCTTCATGGATTACTGCCTTGGCAAATCTAGACAGCATGCTAAAAAGCAGAGACATCACCCTGGCCAACAAAAGTGCGTACAGTCAAGGCTATGGTTTTCCCAGTTGCAATGTATGCCTGTGAAAGTTGGTCCATAAGCAAGGCTGAGCGCCAAAGAATTGAGGCCTTTGAACTCTGGTGCTGGAGAAGACTCCTGTGAGTCGCTTGGACTGCAAGGCGATCCAGCCGGTCAGTCCTAGAGGAGATCAACCCTGACTGCTCTTTAGAAGGCCAGATCCTGAAGAGGAAACTCAAATCCTTTGGCCACCTAATGAGAAGGAAGGACTCACTGGAGAAGAGCCTAATGCTGGGAAAGACTGAGGGCAAAAGAAGAAGGGGACGGCAGGGAATGAGGTGGCTGGATGGAGTCACTGAAGCAGTCGGTGTGAGCTTAAATGGACTCCAGAGGATGGTAGAGGAGAGAAAGGCCTGGAGGAACGTTGTCCATGGGGTCGCGATGGGTCGAACATGACTTCGCAACTAACAAGAAGAACAATTACTAGGGATTCATAAGATGTTTTTGCAAAAGTCCTGATTTTCTAAGTTTTCCTTCTGAACTTCAAGAGTGATGGAGAGTCCCTTAACTTCAATAAGCAAAAGGCAGTCTTCACACAACACACTTGACCAAAATGAAACAAGTCCGTTATGGTTTAAATCATATGTGAATTCAGAGGCGTTCTAGTATCCCGATACATTGCTAAAATATAAATAAAACAGCTGACTATCTCAAAGGATGCCCAAACTTAGACATTCATGTGTCGAAGGTGGAACAGGGAAGTATTTGTTTGCCACCGCAAGTTACCCAAGACATTTGGGGGCCTGTGTCAAAGTATTACGGTGCCCCTTTCCATCAGTTCTAAGTCCAGGTACCCACCAAACAGGTGAAACCTTCAAGAAGATTGATGATACAAAAACGTCTCCAAAACACACCCGAGAACCAAAAAAAAAAGTCTATTTGGGACAAGCTTTGAGGCTCACGCAATTGTGCCTTCCACAAAACGAGTGTTTTCATGCAACTCTCTTATCATTTGCAACCACAATTTCACATTGCCCGGTGGTAGGGCTTGGCCCTGAATGCCTTTCTTATTGCAATGTGGAAACTCTTTTTCTTTTCGCTAACTCTTCCCACCAGAGGCACTACCAACAGGAATATCAGGACAATATTCACTGGCTCTCCGTGTTTACGGATCCCATGTCTCCCCTTGAGCTTGAATGGAGGATGAGAAGCCAACGAGACGGGGGTGGGTGGGAGGGGAAATGCTGGAAAGATGATTATATGTTGAAGTGCAGGATGTTCATATAGAAAGCCCCTTTGGCCAGTTTATAATGAAATCAATGCAAGACTACTACTCTGAAGCCAAGAGAGCTTCTCTTGAGTTTTTTCCTTCTTTCTTCTCCTCCTTCGGAAAAAACAAAACCAAAAATTAAAAAGATTCCTTCCCATTAGTATGAATTATATGGGGGAAAAAAAAAAAGGAATGAAAGTCTAACCTACTAGTTTAGCTTCTTGCCCAGGCAGAAATATAAGGCCTCTGGCTTATGCAGGGCCTCTCCACCTAAATAATTGAGACTTCCTGTTCTGACTCAAGCTGATTGGGGAACTTCACATACAGGCAACTCGGTTCTAAATCTAGAATAGAATGAATGAGCTGGAAGAGACCGTGGAGGTCTTTTAGTCCAGCCCCTTGCTGAATCGGATTTTTTTTTAAAAAAAAAATTTTTATTAAACGGTTTGTCTTTAAAAACAACACAAAAAACAATCACACATACATAAAGACAAAACATGTCAAGACATAACGTATTCAACATTACATAATATTAATGGTAATTTTACAGCATTTCATATCGACTTATGTATTTTGCTTTTGTAGTACTCTATTCTATCATTTCTATTTACTACTCAATAGTAGGATAATCACATTACTCCAACGTATGTATGTATGTATGTATGTAAAAAGTTAAAATCTCGGGTGTTTTCCCACGTCATTAAAAGTCTGTTAGTTGAAATGCTTAAAATCCTGGCTAAAATCCCCATTTAAGATCATCGGGCCCCTACTTTCAGTTTAGAAGCTGTAGGTACCCGGGGGCCCGATGATGACAAGTTAGAGAGCTTGTCGAAACGTTGCCAAAAAGAAAACTTTTAAAGGGTTGGTTAGGATTTTAGCCAGAGTTTCAAAAGACCTTACAATGTGTTTTGTTGGGATTTTGGAGGATCTTAAACTGGGATTTTAGCCAGGATTTTAAGCATTTCAACTAACAGACTTTTAATGACGCGAGAAAACACCCGAGATTTTAACTTTTTACATACACACACCTGCAAAAACTTGAGAAACAGGATAGCTGGTATATGAGAAAGGCTTGGTCCATGCCATCTCTACACTAAGGTAATACTGAATGTATACTACCAGTATTCCTCGATTTATGACCAGTCGCTTAGAGAGAGCTGTAAAGCACTGTGAAGCGGTATATAAGTCTTAAATGCTATTGTTGCTCTTTTAAAACCCTTAAATAAACTTCAGAGACCATTCTTGAATGACAGATCTTCAACCATATAGTCGGGCCTTGATGGTCTACCACTCTTGTCAATTTCAAAAAAAAAATTCTGGTCTTGGAAGTGACCTGGATCTCCCACCATTATCAGGTTTGAGCACATCACTTGATCAGAATCCCCTAGGATATTTGCAAAAATGTACACTTTATGCTCTGTGTGATTTCCTCCAAGCTTCCTAAGGCCAAGAGGTTTCCATTGTCTAAGCCAACTACCCGCTCCGTTCTTTTTCACAACATCTAATTGATGCTGAAGGGAGAAGTTGCTTTCTTTAGAGATCCAGGCCTTCCTTTCTTGATCAAGATTCCAAAAATAGAACTTCCTGAATAATGGTTTACATTGTTTTGGATGCAGACTTTTTTTTTTTTTAAAAAAAGGGCAAATCACCTGAGGGAGGGAAAGAAATAATAGTAATAATTAGTTGATGCATTCAAAGATGTTGATGCACAGAGAGACATTGAAAAGGACACGGTATGTTGGAAATAAAGACCTATTTGGAATCAGATGGTTTTGCAAAGGATGTTTATCCAAGCTAAAATGTAATGAGTAAGTCCTTATTATACTGGACAGAATTACCACCAATTATTTTTTCTTAGAATAAGGTGGGCAACCTATTTCCTTTAGGATACAGGATTTACTAACTAGCACGACACTTGCTCCTGGGGAGGAAAACTATGGCAAATCTAGACAGCATACTAAAAAGCAGAGACATCACCCTGCCAACAAAAGTGCATATAGTCAAGGCTATGGTTTTCCCAGTTGCAATGGATGGTTGTGAAAGTTGGACTAAAAGAAAGGCTGAGCGCCAAAGAATTGAGGCCTTTGAACTCTGGGGCTGGAGAAGACTCCTGCGAGTCCCTTGGACTGCAAGGCGATCCAACCGGTCAGTCCTAGAGGAGATCAACCCTGACTGCTCTTTAGAAGGCCAGATCCTGAAGATGAAACTCAAATACTTTGGCCACCTAATGAGAAGGAAGGACTCCCTGGAGAAGAGCCTAATGCTGGGAACGATTGAGGGCAAAAGAAGAAGGGGACGGCAGAGAATGATGTGGCTGGATGGAGTCAAGGAAGCAGTCGGCGTGAGCTTAAATGGACTCTGGGGATGGTAGAGGACAGGAAGGCCTGGAGGAACGTTGTCCATGGGGCACGATGGGTCGGACACGACTTCGCAACTAACAACAACAAAAAGATGGGCAACCTATTTCCTTTGGGATGCAGGATTTGCCAACTAGCATGAAGCGCTATTAAACATTCTTCAAAAGCCCTCTGCCAGTAAATCTGTTCAGATCTGTGGAAAACCCTTCCTTCCTTCCTTCCTGGCCATTTACTGGATAGAAGGGAGGGTGGGCAGGAAGGGAGGCTTAGATATGGATGAGCTTGTGTTGATGGAAAAGTGGAGAAGATGATGACACTAAAGGTGGAAAAGAAGATAACACTAAAAAATTCAGGATATGACTTCTCTATAAACGAAGATGAGGGGGGGAAAGCCCAGGTAATATGTATTTTCTGCTTATAATGGTTAGGAATTATGAAGGCTGAGGTTCAAGACATCTGGATGGCATCTGGTAGGGAAGGACAGCTCCACTTAGGTTTAAAACAGGGCTGGGGAACAATGGCTCTTTTATGGCCCAGGATGGCTCAGGAATTCTGGGAGTTGAAGTCCAAAAGTCGTAAAGAGGCCATGGATCCTCCATCTCTGATTTAAAACAAGGTTTTCCCCAATTGTCTTAACTAGAAACTCTACAGGACTGAGCCACAGATCTCCCACACAAAATTCTGGTTCCACCTGTGGCTTCTTACCAAGATGTTTCTTAGAAGAAATCTATTTTGCTGAAAAGACCATCTGCACATCCTAACTCATCTTCTCAAGGGACTACTGGATGTTTTCAAGTTCAATGCTATGAACTTGAGCATCTACACCAGAGGTGGAGAACGATGATGGCCCCCTTTATGATTTATGGACTTCAATTTAGTCCTATGCCATTCTGGATAAACGGCTGTCCAATCTCTTAAAATTTTCTAGTCATGGAGCACTCTCATCATCATTTTGTGTATTGTATCCAGTGGTGGGTTGCCCACAGTTTGGACCGGTTCTATAGAATTGGTAGTAAAACTGGCGGGAGGCTCCACCCACCAACCCGACCTCATCAGGAAGCTCTGCGCATGAGCAGAAGTGCAGGGATGCGACCCCGTTGCAAACCAGTAGTAAAGGTTAGTAGAACCCACCCGATTGTATCCATCATTCCAGTGATAGCTACAATACACTAAACCAGGGGTCTGCAATCTTAAACACTCAAAGAGCCATTTGGACCCGTTTCCCACAGAAAAGAAAACACCGGGAGCCACAAAACCCTTCCCATGCCTGAC